CAGAGTTTTTTTCTGCTGAACTGACAAGTTTCCCTCTGGAAGTACTTGCCAGAAGCAATTTGTCTGTAGATCAGAAAAGGGTATGAAAAGTACATGAATGTTCCCTTTTCCTTCCTATTCTTAGAGACAATGTAAACTATTTGCACATACACTGTCTGATACATGGTAAATTTCACAATAATAAATATTAGGAACTGCAGGAAACCCTTGAGTAGCTCTAGAGCAGCTAAAAAAAGGAGAAACTTACATAGTATTTGCTTTTTAGTAATGATTTCCTTTAAAAAGGAGGAAAGAGCTCTTCCAACTTAAACCATCTATATACACTTAACAACAATTGTGAAATTGTGTAAATCTATTTGAAATGGTATCATTTTTCCGAGTCAAGAACTTGCCTATTCAATTCCAGCAACTCTAAAGGATGTTTTCAGGTTCACTTTCAAAATGAAAGCGTTGTGACTGTAAGGAGCAAGTTGAACCATTTTCTTTTTCAACGTATAGCAGAGAACTCCACCATTTAATCATTCCAAGTGCTTACGATCACAAAAGTAAGGCAAGTTGTAAGGTCTGCATTAATATAAACACCCCACTGACCTCTTGTATCCCACGGCACAGTGAGAACTCAATTTTACATTAATAAACCCTAACACCAAACTGTTAGAAACTCAAGAGACACCAGGTATTACAAGTTACATAAATTACAGCCGAGATCAAATGGCCCGTACAAGCAATTGTACAGTGATAAAGCCTAAGTGGATGATATTTAAACAGATATTTGATTTACTGCAGAATTTTATATCACACTAGAATTCAAATGACAATTTACAAGTCCAGAGAAAAGAAATCCCTGTCCCATGCAAACTACTATTTGCAGCACTGTTTCAGAAGAGCTTAATATTGTAACTTTAAGGAAGCAATTCTTTCCTCTGATAGTCTCAGGACACAGTCTTAGAAGCCAAACTATAAAATCTGACGTTTAAAGAGAGAATGAACAAGCTACTTCTTCATCCCCAGGTAGGAAATAACATCCTATCTTCTATTAATTAGCTCTCATGAACCTCATTTTTGCAATACAGCAGGCTGTGGTTTCTTCCATCAAAAAAACCCAACTCTGATGCTACATTTGAGGATCTGTCTCTCGAGTTCTTCAGAGATGTACAAACTGTGAAGACTGTAGAACAGACAGCACCACCTCTTATTAGTGACAGCAACACCACTAGTTAATGTTAATCTGTTTTCCGTCAGAAAAAAATGGTATTTTGTATTCGAGTTGAGATGCCTCACACCAGTACTCCTGGCCAGCTTTTCCTTAGTTCCACAAAACAGTCCTGCTTTTCCCAGCTAAGAAAATGTGTAGAAGAAAAAAAATGCGTGAAATAAGAGCCAAATTAGCAGAGGAAGAATCGTGCAGATGCACATTCTTGAACCAAACTTCAATACCTGAACAGGTTACAAATGGCTCCCTTGAGACCAGACAACCCTCTTACTCCCCCAGTAGGGAGCGACTATAGATAATTCGGGGTGAAAAAAAATGATCCATCAAGGAAAAGATTTATCAAAAAAAATCACAGGCTTCCAATGCGATCCAGGAAAACCTCTCGGCCAATAGCTGCAGCAGCAGTAATTGTTCTAAATCTATCAATAAAGCTAAGCTGCTCCTTCATTGACTACAAATACGAATTTCTTTCATGGAGGATTATAAGTTGATGTTCATGGTCTCTCCACTGCCATTAGGGTGATAAACAGTTTAAACTACATCAAGGATCTGACATGTAGATCAATTCTGGGTCCATAAAGAATCTACACAAGAGGTTCCCAGACAGGGATTTACTGCCCCCAGTTTTTATTCTCTCTTGCTGCTAAAATTACTTCTGTCAAGTACTTACAAGAGTAAGGAAAAAAAAAAAAGGTAAAAAGAATTAATTTTTCATGTGCTGCTGGAACAGTCTTTTTAAATTCCTGAGTTTTTAAGGCAAATACGTTACTGCATTTAAAATTGTGCTGAACAGCAGGTGGTATTTAGCTAAATAGTGAGCCATTCGCACGATCCACTCACTATCAAGCAGACAGCAATTTGAAACACTGAACTAAGCTACTTAGATTTTCTCTGAGGGTAGTCACAGGCTTCATGTTACCAGTGTCAAATTATATTAGACATTTAATTTTAAACCTCAGGTACTTAAATGTAAAACCTTACAACAGCAACAGTCATAAAGCAGTGGGGCATTCCATTTCAGAGAATGGATTTTTCTATTTTTCCCCTTTAATTTAACCAGCACCTCCTGTTTTGTGGCTCTGCCCACTACAAAGTAATTTATCTAATTAGGAGATGTTCACAGCTGCTTGAAAGACAGAAGCCCCAGGAAACCAAAGGCCTGGTTCGTAAGACTTTGAAAAGTTCTTCGGAGCCACATAAAGTATTAATTTAATGTGGGGAAAAAAAAGGTGCAGAGAAAAATTGAATCCCAATATGTTATTTTGTCTACAATAAAACCATGTGACAATAAGCAGGCATATTCTCCAGTACATTGGCATTTGAATTCCAAAAGATGCTTAGCTTCTCGCCATACCTGCTGCTTTCACAGTACTACCTTTTTATGACTAAAATTCAAAAATCTTTTAATGGAGAAAAAAACCCTGAAATTAAAAGGGGTTTTTCATGCATCAACTTGCCAACATAAAAGACACATCTATGAACTTACCGAAAGATGATACACTGATAGCAATGAATTACTCTTGAGGTTTTGTAGCAGTTTTATCCCAATACTTCTGTTTCTGCTGACCCTCAGTTGCCTAAAACTCACTGTTAGTCCAGTTTTTCCCACATATTTATAAAACCCCCAACTTTTCTTTCTTTTTTTTCTGTTTGTGGCGCTTTTTTTTGTCGACTCCCCCCACCCCCCAATTAGAACTTCTGCAAGAAATTATTAAAGTCAGGCTTATTCAGAAGTACCCACCAGTCATCTGCATTTTTTGAATAAATATTTCATAGGTAATTCTAGCTGTCATCTCTTTTCACCCAGAAGTAATCACATATGAACACCAAGTCAGAAAAAGGTACTGCACATACTTGGGAGTAGAGAGCTTGTGTAGCAGAAAAGCTTCCCTTCGCCAGGAATGTAAAACTAGCTGAAGTGCAGCATCAGGAGTGAAAGACAAATCCAGCAAGTATCTCAAAAACAGAAATGGCATCACAAAATAAAGGGGAAGGGAAAAGGTAGGAATTTAGGTTATATTTCTACTTTTCAACATATTAATTGCATGCCACTTTTAGGAACTCATTGAATTCGGCATTTTGAAGATTTTCCTCTACTGCAGCCCCAGCTGTCACATCTGGCACTGAGTGAGCAGCACAGGGATGGCATCTGCTCATCTGTCTGCAAGTATGTCAAGGTGTAAAGGACCAAGGACTACCTCTTGTCTTTCACGTGCCTTCCTTCTAGTGCAAACATAAAACATCCGCCAACTTTCCTCTGAAAAGCTACAGTATAAAAGAAGGGTGCAAAAAGCCAAAACTTTGCGATAAACCTTTTAAGTAGAACTGGGGTGGATTAAAACAACAAAACAGGTCAGGAAAAAGAGAGAGAAATATATGGCCTTGGGTATGAAACCAGTTCCGCCTAAAGGAATCCATGTAGGACAATGCTGATTGCCCTAACAGACTAACCAGACTCCAGAGGAGTGGATGAGCTGGGTGGACACAGAAGAGAACAGCGCTAAAGCATTTTATCATGCTGTTTAGCTGGATCTCTGGCTGTCAGAGAGGCTGAAACAAAGGGTGCTTGCTTTAGAAAACTCTTGGTCAAAACCTGTACCGTTTTGATGCAAACACCACGTTCCTGAAGATGTTGCCCCCAAGTTTAGAGCTCCAGAAGTGTATGTGCTTCAGTGACTACAAACTTGAGAGCTAATGCCACTTAGAGCCAAGGTGACCATGAGTTGAAACCCTCTGTTCTCACAGGATGGCACTGAAAAGCTGTCCAAAGCTGCTTAAAACCCAGAGACGGCATCAGGGCTACACTTGGATTCAAACCTCATACAGATACATACATATATGCACTTACATATATATATATGGGACATGTGAAACAGTTTTCATATTCCTATACTTCTCACTATTTTAGAGATAGCCATCAGAAACAGCTTTCCTCCCTCCTCCTCCTGTCCTATTCACATTTCTCCCCGTTATCCATATCCTCAATTTCTTCTCAGTTCATTCTTCTCTCTCATGCACTCATCTCCTTCTCCCCCCTGCTTAATGAACTTTCCATTGAACTCCATGGTCCTGGACATGTGTGCTTCACTGGTATGAACCGTCTCTGCAGCACACCACAACAGAAACACCTGGGTTCCAGCCCACCCGTCACAGCTGCTTCAAGGATGCTCCCATTTGCGTAGGCAGCAGGTCAGCTGTAGGTGAACAGCATTGTATCTCTGTCCTTCCCCAGCACTCCACTGAGGCCTGATGCACCATTTTGTTACCAAATATCATGTGTATCCTTTAAAAACAACAACTCCTGTCTCACTGTTACAATCTAATCATTGCAAAACACCATCTGGAAGAGTGTTTGCTCCTTTTAATACTGTTAAACGCTCCAAAGAGAAAACACTACGACTATGCCAATAGTGTGCATACATTAAAGCAAGAGCACAGCGGAGAAAGGACATGCCGATGAAAAGGTTTGGAGGATAATTTACTTGTTAATATCTACCACGCAGAGTAAGGAAACAAGAATACCGAGTGAACAACCTACATTACGTACCTGAAACAAAAATTAAG